ACAAACACTTTTATCAGAGGAATGCAAGTCCTTTTAATTATCAGACTCGGAGAGACATTAGAGAAAGACTGTATTCACGCCCTGCTCCCCTCTTGAAACTGCCGCCTGTTGTCATAGTAACTATAAATCAACCTAATAATCCATACCTTATAGTTTAACAATGTACAGCCCGTCACCAATCAATGTTATTTCTGTAAATCAATGAGAATCCCTGAGAAACAACTTTATATCAGCCCACTTCCTGTGTCCCTTTATTGTCTTCAAGAACTCACGTGTCACTGCTGCTAATCAAACTTTATATTCAGAGCAACAACTTAAATCTATTCTCAGGGCTGCAATCCTCAAGCCTAGCCCAAACAAACTTTCTACTTATATTAATTTTTCCTCCGCTTCTACTCTTTAGGTGAACAAGTAGACGATGGGGCTACACTTTAGAGTCACAGACACAGAGTGACTGCCATTTCTAGGTCAGTACTTGTAAGCTGGATAATTCCGGGGAGAAAACTGACCATGTTCAACTCTTCCCTAAAACTTGAACCCTGTGCAACTTTGGAAAAGCCATCATACACCTCTGGGCCTTGGACTTCCCTTTTTAGAAAGTGGGGCTATCCATGCCTCTGTAATATGCTCCCAGGGCTCCCATCGTCCTCACAGCATCCTGTCCCACTCAGTCTCGTTTCTGCAACCAATGCTTATCTATGAGATGGTATCACAGCAGAGGGTGTGGTAAGCAGTTGTTCACCAAACTACGCAGGGCGTGAAGGTGACTTTTCTCTATGATAGTGGAGACTGTCCATTGCCTACTTCACGTCCAAGAATGATGTTTATGAAGAGCAAGGGCTTGGGGTGTAGAGAACACGATCTGTAGGAAAGGGGTAGCCGCTACCCATGGGGTACTAGAGGTTTAGAAAGATGACACACAGGGAATGGGCTCTGCTGGGAACGCTCCATCCTGACCCCAGCTGCCTCCTTTGCCCACCCTGCCCTTACACTGCCGTGCAATGCGGCTGCCTAGTGTCAATACTTCTCATGCTAGGTATACAAATACGTTTCATTCAGGCACCCTGTTGATAAGAGGTGTTTCCCCGTCCCCAGACAGATATTTGCTACCGTTGATCCCATCTCCCTTTCCCCCCATAGTTTCCCACCACTGTCAGTCATTTTCTTATAGTATTCTGTTGGATGTTCAAGGTCCACTATATGAGTGAGAACATGTGATACTCGGATCTTTGTTTCTGTGAGAGGTCACTCAGTATTATAGACTCTAGTTCCATCCAGGTTGCTGCGAAATTCATGATTTTGTTCTTTTTTATGACTACATAGTATTCCGCGTGTATATGTACCACATTTTTTTAATCCAGTCCTCTTTTGATGGGCAGCATGGTTGGTTCCAGGTTCTTGCTATTATGAACAATGCTGCAATAAACATATATGTGTAGGTATCTTTTTTATAGAGTGATTTGAGTTCTTCAGGATATATTTCTAGTAGGGGGATTGCGGGGTCATATGGGAGGTTGAGGTTTAGAGCTTGCTCCTTGATCTTGTACTTCCCAGACTCCAGAACTGTGAGAAATAAATTTCTGTTCTTTAGGAAAAAAAAAAAAACTTCTCAAGCTGCCCCAGCTGTAGAGAGGTTAGTTCTCTGCCCATCATTGAGATGCAAATGGATGAAAGTTCTTTGATCCCTGAGAAGGATACATCCCAGCTTTTGCTCCAGATGATGGGTAGTTTGTAAACAACACAAGGTAGGCAACTGGTATCAGGCTTAGGCACCATCTCAGAGAGAACCCAGGTAAAGGAGGCTGGTGAGAGGGAGAGTTAAGGTTTTGGACATTTGTGCCTCTACTAAGAATGTGACTTTGGATTTCTCTGATCTGATTTCCCCTCATGAACAGCACCAAGACGCTTTAAATTCTTAAGACACTGAGTTGCAGCCAGGAAGAGAGGGAAGCTGGAAGGGCTGGGTGGCTCTTCACTTGGAGAAAGAAGACGGACGGGTAGGGTGAAGCGACCACTGAGAGGCAGATAGAGCCCTGGATCTCTACGGCTATGGCTAGTGACTAGTGACGAAGGGGCCGGGAAGGTGTCTGAGAGCAGGAAGGAGCTCGCAGACTTTCCAGACAGCAGCGGAGGTAAGAAGAAGCACAGCTAGACTATTCTTCCCCTCCTCATCACCAGGTAGCAAGTTCCTTGCAGGCAAAGACTTTGTACTTACCCTGAAATCAAGTTCACATCCATTAACACATTGAAAATCAAATGCCAGACTTAGAAACCACCTGCCCTTCTAACCCCTGGCCCTCTCCAACTAATGTTAAATATAAGTTCAAAAACAAGGAATCAAGCCTTTTGCCAACAGCTTTCTTTGCTATGAGAGACAGTGTCTGGTAAATCAAGAAAAATGTACCATTTACCCACTAAACTAAACACTGTCCCTTGTTATACAATTAACCAAAGCACAATTGTATGTAATACAATTATACAAGACTACAATTACACAAAAGTAATGATGCAGCGTAGATGGCAATGACTTCCACGCAATGGAAAATAACGAGAGCTTGTTTGATCAGAAATTAAGGTAGCAGAAGAGACCCCTACTGATAAAATGTTCCCTGTATTGACCCACTTGGCAAAAAACTGTGTCAGATGATAAAGTAGTATGCTTCTCCTCACCATTACTAAAGACCATCAGGGTGGCAGTCATTCTCTGGAATATTTTATTCTGAAGTCTCTAAACTAGCACATTTTAATAAAGCACACATTTTATTACCCACTTTTCAGCTGATCAAATAGGAAAAAAAGTGAAGCAGAAGAGCAGTAGGTCTGTATGGTTTGTTGACAATCCCAAGTGTAGGGGTATTCACGGAGGAGCATGTCTGCAGAGTTCCATCGAGCTATATCAGTCATTCTTAACATTAGCAGGAACTGTGCTCTGCATAACTGATCTCTGAGCTTCACGGTAGAGATACCTTCTTTTCATCCTCCCTTCCCTGAACTGGACCAGTCATCCACCTAGCTGTGGGTAGCTAGCTCTCTTCCCATCCGTCTTTCTCATTTTTTTCCGAGTATTCCTTTACTCTTTCTTTTCTTTTCCTTTCTTCTCTCTCTTTCTCTCTCTCTCTCTCTCTCTCTCTCTCTCTTTCTTTCTTTCTTTCTTTCTTTCTGTTTTTTTTTGAGTCAGCTGTCATTCTGTCACTCATCCAGGCTGAAGTGCAGTGGCGCAATCATGGCTCACCACGTGGGCTCAGGAGACCCTCCTGCCTCAGCCTCCTGAGCAGCTGAGACTACAGGTGTGTGTCACTATGCCCAGCTATTTTTTGTTTTTATTTTTTATCTTTCCGTAGAGACAAGGTCTTGCTATGTTGTTCAGGCTGGTCCTGAACTTCTGGGCTCAAGCAGTCCTCTCTCCTTGGCCTCCCCAAATCCTGGGATTACAGTCATGAGCCACTGCACCCAGCCACTTTGACTCTGTCTACTAGGCAAATCTGACTGCCTTCTGTCCTGATTCTTGCCAAGAACATGAAGCCAAAACCCGCTGGCACACAAAATTCTTCATGGCTGATCCGGACCACATCTCTGGCCATATTTGCACTACGGGTGCTGCCCACACTAGCCTACCACCCTTACTGAGCTATAGTTTATTGAATCTAAGACACCATTAATTATAAGGCATACCATTATTTTGTCTGCCACAAAGAAAAAGAAATGTTGTCAATTAAACTATTACACACCATCAGATGCAAAATGCATCCCGATATTAGATACTTTAATGCCAAAACGAGTATTTTGAATTCATGAAATACTTGCAGACCATACTTGCCCCTGCTTCTACACCAGTCCTCCTCTCTTTCCCAGCCTCTGTCAAGCCTTCCTGTGCCTCCTCCAACTTGGTATCATTTCCTGAAACATTCTTGACCTCAATTCTCTGGGGCCGGCTAAGTTGCTGTTGCTATATGTCCAACAAATAAAGGTGCATTTCTTGGTCATTTATCTTACTTTATTGTAATAGCTAATTTATGCCCTGACGAAACATGAGCAGAGACCCTGTATGACCAGCACAAAGGCAAGCACCTAACAGATATTATTCACCCATTTGATAAATGATAAATGATAAATTTTAGACTGGCGTGAGCAGAATCAGAATGAAGGAGGTAGGCTCTGGAGAAGAAACATGGGAGACATGGTAAACCTTGCTGAAAATTCAAAATCCAGCCTCTTTGGTTTTCTGCAGTATGTCTTTGCATTTAGAAACTCTGACTTAGGAGTGAGGGCCAGTTTAGAAGGCCAAACTTTACCTACATGCAGCCTACTTATGTAGTTAAGTCTCACTTGCACCCCACATTCCTATAACAAAATAAGATTTTTTAAAAGAAACTTCGAATATTATAGGAGCCAGATCCCAGGAGAAATGACGAGAGAAACCGAGCTGTTGCTGGATTTGTGGGTTGCAGAGTGAAAGTGCTGATTCTCTCTAGCCTGGGTCTGGCCTCCTCTGAGCCAGAGAAGCAGTGGGTGGGGTCGTGACAGCAAGGACTGGCCACACCCAGGAGCCACTATGTACTATGGGGCAATGCCAAAGCCCCTGCCGTAGGCATCTCAGAGGGTCCAGTACGTATCTGCCTGTGTTAGAAAGGACACCCACTGCAGTGAAGAATGAAACGGTTTAGGAGAGAAGTAATTTCTTCCTCCTTTTTGCTTTACTCTTAACTTCAAAGTAATCAAATGTTGTTTATGCATAAAATTTTAATCCTTTCACAAATTTGTATTTTGATTTAATTTGCATATCCCATTTACTGTGAGTCAACATGAGGAGAGACTCAACTAATTTAAACCATTTTTCTCTGGGCCTGAAATCCTTTCAGAAATATTTTCCATTAGGCGACTCAATTATGTCTAATGTGGCTAATGTCAGTGAATTAGAATTTTGCTTAAAGAAACTCATATTTAGAAACAGTGAGAATGGGTAGGGGGTGGGGGAACAGACGAGAAGAGACAATAATTACCTGTCTTTGATGCTACACAGATCAATGTGTAAATCACTAAAATTCCCCAGAGAACCTTGCTGAACTGAAATGAGGTCCTTGGGCTGGTTATCAATAAAGATGAGCCTCATGCAGCCTTGGAAAGCCTTAATGGGATTTAAACATTGGGAATCGGTGAGACTGTCGGGGCACCCTGTGGGACAGAGAAAAAAGAGGAAGAAGAATACTGAAATGATCCGTCATTGCTTTGGTGACCTATGGATGGAAGACCTTGAGGTCTGATTATTTTGGTGCTTTTTCATTCACAGCAGTGCACGCCCTTTCATTGTAAATCCTAGCATTCTCGGGGAGGCGACAGAATTGGCACCAAACAGGGCACACTCAATCACCATAGAGAAAATCAAAAGTGTGGTAAAGGGGAATACCAATCCTAGAACGTTTATGTTGTTCTGGGTTTTTTTTTTTTTTTCTATTAGTAAGCCACTTGCCATTCTTTTGCCTGGTATCCTTCACTTATCCCAGGAAGCAACATACTATAACTACTTAGATATTTTGGTTCCGTCTGGAAACACATTTCTAAATGCACAATTCGGTTCTGAATTACACTCTCAAAGGAAAGCATGCTTTGGGTAAGGACGGCAGCATAGTAATTGTCTGGTTAATTGTTGGCATTAACAGGCTTAGTTCCCGGGAAAGGTACACCCAGGAACGCCACTGGAATTTTGAAGTGATGTGCAAAGAAAATCCAGACGGTAAGGGGATGTACATAGTTACAGGGCTGTAATAGCATATGGGGAAGGTTAACACTGTGCCTTTTTAAAGGGTGTTCTTTTTAAATAATGCATCTCACTGATTTAACATCGCCCGTCACCCGGGCATATCTACTTCTCATTAAACAGGTACAGAGCATTGCAGGTGTATGAGTGTCTGTGCTCTTAACAAACTCCATCCCAATGGTTTTAATAGGTTCAGAGCATATGGGGCTGCAAACTTGAAACCATGGCAATAACCCATAAATAATTGGGAATTATTTCAGCCATCTCTAATAGACAGTCACTGCTGGGCTGAAGCCCAGCAGCTGGTTAACAGCTCATAGGCACACTATAAAATGAAGAGAGATGCTACAACTTCTCATTGAAGCTGCAGAGGGAATTTATGTAAGTTGACTGTTATTACCGAAACTCATTTTTCACCTTCCTTAAGTTTACAGTCGACGTGTGGGGCATTTGTTTAAACACTGCTCAAATCAGAGATAAATCTTCACCTCCTAAGCTCACTGCTCCTTAAAACCTGCCACTAAGAGCACTTCTTCAGTTGGGGGAGGGGAACTATTCTGCCTTTGAGGCATGTCAGGTGCTTATTGTACCATAATTATTCAAAAAATGTTCCCCCGAAATAAATTCAAGATCACTTTTCTTCCGCAGTGGCTGAAAGATTGCAAAAGATGAAAAATCACACACTCTGTGAGGTGTGTCTTTGGGGACCCCAAGGCCCTTGTTTTGCAGACATTATGATAACATTTGTTCTTGTCTCTTAGTTTTCGCTAGTCGGCTGTGCAGAACACAATCTGGATTTGAGCCCTTGGTCTACTACTCACTAGCTCTAAGGCCTGGTACAGATTATTTTATCTCGGCAAACACCCATCTTATTATCTGTTAAATGGGAACAACATTACGTACTTCGCAAAGTTGCTATATGATTTAAATGAGGTAAGGCACTTGAAACATTTACAGAGACTGGAAATTTCCCTTCTAAAGGAATTTTTTATCCCTGCATACATGGAGTGGGGTAAAAGACAGAAGCCTTTCGTCACCCTAAAATCAAACCACAAAGATAATACTCCCCCCCCAGGAGACCCCAGTAGGTACATTGCACCTTTATGATTTCAAAGCTTTAACCACATTTCATTGGTATGAGAGAAGTCATTTGTAAATTCTATTGAAGAGACTGCAGTACACAATTTTATTCAATACTTCTCTTCAATTTTCTAACGGAAGGAGACTTGGCAACTGTGGCCCAAACCCCAGCACATGCACATATCTACAGGAGCTAAAGCAATTTGCCCAGCCCCTGTCATGTAGCAGGCTCTGTGTTGCACATGTCAGTCATGGACTCACTTTACTTTCCCAGAAGTTCTGAAAGTGGGTTTATTTCCCTGTGTTCCATATCGGGAAGTTTAAGGACCATGTGCATCTTTCTCGAGGTCAGATAGCCATGGAGGCTAAATCCTTTTCAGAGACTGTTTCTTCAATACCAACTACTGACTAAGGCATTAAATATTGCTTTTGATAAGAGAAATACCTATGAAAGACTAAACTAAAATACATATGCATTTATAAATATTCAATAGATGCCCAATGTTGTTTTTCATCACTCCCAGTGTGCCCTTGTGTTTTTTGCCACAAGAAAGGTTCCCAGGATTCACCTAATAGTAGAGAGGGCCGAATCTGAACTGGCTTCTTCATGTGGAGATACATGTTCCTCACTCTTCTCAGCCGTCCCACTCTGTGGGCATGGTCGCTAGGGATGTGAGGAAGGAGAGGACAGGGGACCAAGAAAGCAAAGTGGCAGAGGAGTAGCCTAGATGCTGAGCATGCTGGCTGAGCCTTTCCACTGAATTTTTCCTCTTGCAGGTACTGCTGACTCTTGGTACCCTTTCTCCAAATTTTCAGCTGAGTTTCTCCTTTCCGATGTGATCACAGAGCTTGGCATGGCTACAAAAATCTCCTTTGCATGTGTTATGTAACACCAGCTCTTGTAGCTAAAGTTCTTTTCTTCCTCAGCACTGACCTAGATAATTTCTATTTGCACAGCTGTGAGAGATTTTGCTTTTCACTATTTTGGGCTTGAGAGTGTGTGTGTGTGTGTGTGCGCGCATGCACGTGTGTGTGTATGTGTGTGTGTGTGTGTGTTGTGTTGTGTTGGGAGAATGGCCTAATTGACAAACCAAGAACCATCATAGTGAAATAACTTCTCATTCCTTTCTCTCTCCCCCTTTTATTTTCTTTTGCAAAGACCGGAGAATTTACCTCCAAAGTAGTAGCTATTTCCAGAATAAATCTGCACCCAGGTGGTGTCCGGAGCCGGGGAGGCTGCCTCGTAATCCAGGGTAAGAGTGATGCGGTTTCTCCTGGCATTGATGCTGACCGAATGCCACAAGCCATCATTCAAATTGCTGCCTGCAAAAGAAACAGGAAGAGCAAGTGTAGGGATACTGGATCTGGGCGGTCTAGAGAGAGGAGGCTCATTTCCCAGAGGTCCTTGCACATTCTCAGAGCAGACCCCGCTCCTCACTTGGCTCAAGCCAAGCCCTGGCTGTTCAACAAGAGTCATTTTTCTTCCTCTGTTTACTGCTTCATTCTATTTTCCTCTCCTTTTCTGTAAAAGTAGCTAAACCACTTCTGATAGGTTTGGCTTAAACACAAAAGGGCAAAACACAAAATTGTTTATATACTCTAACTAGAGGCATGTCATACATTCACCGATTTACTGATGTATGAATGCAGAGGAAAAGGAAAAAACTAAAACAAAACCTCAAAATATTAAGAGCAATTTCATCTTTGGGAGGTGGAATTATAGGCAATCTTCATGTTCTCACACATTCCTACCAATGACTTATACCTTGTTTTTAGTAAAAAGTGAATTATTTTTAAAGTGGATGAAGAAAGCCAGATTCCAATGATATGTCAGACAGAGACAGCCTCCTGTCAGAGAGAGGTAACAAATTAGTTCAATACCAGTCTTTTTAGGGGATACTGCCCTAAGTGTCTATCTTTGCTAAGCTCTGGTTTTATCATCTATAGATATTATAATGTCTGCTCTGTATCATTGCTAAAGGAATCAAATGAGATCAGGCCAGGGTTTCTAAGCTGCTTAGGGCTATAGTGGCTATTCTTGTAAAGTTCATTTATCTTCTCTTTGTTTGCCCCAGACATCTTTGGTGTATACAACATTACTTTATTGGGAAACTGTATGGAGAACTAGTTACAAAAGTCTAACTATTTCCTTTAAAAATTGATCATCTATTAAGACCATCCTCTATGGCTGAGTGTAGTGACTTCCACTTGTAATCCCAGCACTTTGGGAGGCAACAACAGAAGGATCACTTGAGACTGGATGCTCAAGACCAGCCTGGACAACACAGTGAGACCCTGCCTCTACAAAAAAAATAATAATAAAATTAGTTCAATGTGGCAGCACGTGCCTGTAGTCCCAGTTATGGAGAGGCTGAGGCAGGAGCATTCCTTGAGCCTAGGAGTTTCAGGGTGCAGTGAGCTGTGATCACACTACTACACTCCAGCCTGGGCAACAGAGTAAAACTTTGTCTCAAAATAAATAAATATACACACACACACATACACACATACATAAAAGAAAAGAAAAAGACCATCCCGTCAGTGAAACATGCTTGCTGATGGAAACATAATTATATTAACTAATTTGGTCACAAAGATTTATCTGTGGTGAGAGGCCCACAGACACACAGTTCTTCGTTCAAGACTTATTTATTGTGCTCTGCTATGCATTGAGTTGACTTCCTACTCACTGCCTCAGTTTCCTGACCTGCAAAAAGGGGTCAATGACTATACTTACAAGCCTATAAGCCACTGTAAGGGCTATAGTCATTAATACAGTGCATATGCGGAATAGTTCCTGTCAATCATACATAGGCGGTAATGTTAATTCCAACAAACAGACAGAGCTACAACTACTAGATGGTCCTGGCATTAGGGAGCACAGATACTGACCTCACACAGTTTCTATCCTGGAACAGTCCATAGTTAAATGGCAGTGATGGATGCAAAGAGGATGAAAATACCATCTTTTGAGTTCAGGCTAGTGGGGGAGAAAGAAACAAGCAAACAACAACAGCACTTGTAGTTCTGGGTGGAACAGTAATATGTGGGCGGAGAAGAAAGAAGCCCTGACTAACTCCACATTCGGATCCCAAGAATGTTTCACAGAAGTGGGTGAGAGTTAAGGGACATTTCAGAACACGAGCAAGAGTTTTCAACTCAACGAGCGAGAGTTTCTGGAGACAGAGAGCCTGTACAAAGAAAAAAAGGCCTGGGGTGAGAAGCCGGAGAGGATGGTACGCAGGCAGCAGAGAAGAAGATTCCATCACCCAGGGACTCATGTGTCCGTCTCAGGATAATGTGATCACTTTGACAAACAATTCTAAGAGCATTTTACCTAGAGCAATTCCGTGAGAATCTCTGGGGACGGGCCCTAGGCATCTGCGTGTTTTATAAAGCTCCCCGGGTGACTGTAATATGCAGCCAAGGATGAAAATCTCAGCTTCAGAACATGGGCATCCACGAGGAGTCTTCAGCCTGGTGATGACAGGGTTGGAGGTGTTTATTCAAAGAACCAGGGCTGCAGAGTAGATGATAGGAACCAGAAGGACTCAAGGCTGGAGGCAGAACTGGCCAGGCCGGCCCCAGGAGACAGAATGATAGGGTCTCCGCTACAGTCACAGCAGGGAAAGTGGAGAGCAAGTGACAGATTAAGAGCTATTTCTGGAGGGAAAACAGACCTGTCTTGGTCGAGCCTACCGGAGCAGCCCCTGAGAAGCCAGTTGGGAAGGAAACACTGACAATCACAGCAGAAGCCTGCTGGGCTGAATGGCGAGTGAAGACCCCTAAACGCGCACATGGCTGGAGAAGCTGCCTGGGGAGAAGCGTGACACCAGACTTGAGGCCCAACCGTGTTTGCACCAAGTCAGTCATGCCCCATCTGCTCAGGGCAGCCCAGATGTGGGGGACCTCCTGTGTTTGCAGCCAGGTCCCTCCCAGGCAATCTCCACGGCAACCCTGAACATCTGTTTGGGGTGGAGAGGAGAACCCAGAGGCTTCTCAGCCTGGTGGCCTCACTTCCTCCCACCGGCAGTTAGTTGTCCTCAGACAGGGCCAGGGTTGGGGTCCTGGCCACAGGAACTCTGCTAATGAATAAAGACTCTGTCGGGGGTTTCTTGGCGATGAATACTTGACTTATTTCTGGGCTATCTGGGAGGCACAGTCAACTGTACGTCTTTTCTCTTCACTTTAGTTTGCATACACATTTGAATATATCTGCATAACATATGGGACTGCATTTGCAGGTGAACTAGACTGAGCTGGAAGGGAGTCTGTTACTAGTTCAGTGTAAAAGGTCTAAATAGTTCCCGAGGGCCAACAGCCCTGATAGGCATCCGGATGGATACAGAAGAGAAGAAAGTACATGCGGAGGCCACAGGAAGTGTCCCCATTTAATTAGACAAAACTGGCCCGAGAGAAAAGTCCACTCAATGTGAGTCTGCAGGGTCACAGCATTGGTGTACGTGTGCTAATTGTGGGAGTTGTCCCTTCCCACGTCATAAGTGTTTCTCTCTTTAAAGTTTTCAGACAATAAGGGTTTCCTAGGCTGATTTTTTTTTCTTTGATCTGACCTTTTCCTTCATGGCCCTGACTCCCTGCAGGAGAAGCCTGTGTGAAAAGCTTCGCTATTTAAAGGGGAATTGTTAGAACAACAGTTGCTAGGTAACACTCGGGAGGGGCGGCTTTTGAAAATGCAGAACCCTGAGCCCACACCAGGTTAATTAAGTCAGATATTTTGGGGTGGCCCCAGGCCTTGGAAGGTTCTATGATCCCTGGGGATTTGGTTGTGCAGCCGAAGTTGAGAACTACTCGATTAGAAGTGTCCAAAGAGAAAGAGGACAGGAAAACAGGAATCATGTAGGGAGCTGTCCCAGAGAAGCTCCAAGACAAGCAAAGTGGCATATTTTCCCCTACAGTCTTCATTGTCTCCCAGATAGCCTTCTCCACTGTAATCTGCTAACAGACCCCAAATAACACTCATAGAGATTCCCCACAGTCTGGTTTTTAAGGATACTTTTCTAAAGGAATGAGTTGAAGTGCTATTAATTATTCACGAATTAGGGAGAATCCGTTCTATCAGATTGCTTGCTTCCCAAAGCTCCGTGACATAAATGGCTCTGAAAGAACAGATGTGCTCAAACAAGGAGCAGAAAAGGGAACACATTTGAGGCCAGGAACACCTGGATGGGGAAAATCCTCTTGGGGAAGAAGAGCAGGCTATCTAGGGCCACTCTGGAACACTAAACACTCACATGGTTTAGGAACAGAGGCTCAAGAGATGAGACTTGGGTTCTGGAAAGAGAGCTGGAAGATGGCAAACATTCAACTTCTGAACTTTAAACGGGTGCTGGGTTTCATCGGTCGTCTCCCAAACTGGCAGAGAATAAAAACTGATTATACTCAGTGTTAGTGGGTAGAGAGGGAAACAGGCACTTTCTTATGTTGCTCATGGGAGGCTAAGTTTGTATGTGTTTTTGGAAGACAAAATGCCAGCCGGGCTCGGTGGCTCAGCCTGTAATCCCGCGCCTTGAGAGGCTGAGGTGAGTGGATGGCCTGAGCCCGCGGGTTCGAGACCCGTCTGGGCAGGGAGACCTCATCTCTACAATAAATCAAAAAATCAGCCGGGCGTGGTAGTGCATGCCTGTAATTCCAGCTACTTGGAAGGCTGAGGCGGAAGGATCACGGGAGCCCAGCAAGTCGAGGCTGTGGTGCCTGGGAGCGTGCCACTGTGCTCCAGTCTGGGCAACAGAGTGGGACTCCAACTCAAAAAAAAAAAAAAGGAAGACAACATACCAATAAATATAAAAAAAGTCCTAAGAATGTCATACCTCATTCACTATAAATTTTATTCTGAGGAATTATTCCTAAAATAGTAACAGAGCTGCAGCCTTAATTTATGATGAAGATAGTTCATGACCATTATTTACAATAGCAAAAATTCACAACCACCACTATTTCCAACTGTAGCAGGTTAGATAAATCAAATGTGCTACACTCACAATATGAAATACAATGTAGTGATTAAAAATCATACAATCTGAGCTGGGCTCGGTGGCTCAGCCTGTAATCCCGCGCCTTTGGGAGGCTGAGGTGAGTGGGTTGCCTGAGCCCGCGGTTCGAGACCCACCTGGGCAGCGAGACCTCATTTTTACAATAAAAAAAAAAAAAAAAAAGAATCATACAATCCAAGAGTGCCGTTGATATCCTGATGACAGAAAAGTGCTAGCTAAATAGTATATGTTGCACAATTCCCATTTTGTTAAAAACTAACACCAAGAAAAAACACTGGAATAATGAAGAATAATGGAATCACAAATTATTTT